GTTGGATGGAAGGATGGCTGCATGATGGAGGACAGACCCTGCAGAAGAGCGGGTTCCTGCGCATACCTCGACGGCCTGGGTGTACTGCTCTAGCCGCTCGTCAATCTTGGAGATGGGCAGGGCTGGCTGGGACTTCTTCACACTGTTACTGGAGGGTAGGAGAAAGCTCATGCTCCGTGTCCCCTTGCTTCACTTCTACACCCCGCCCGGAGCCCCTACCAGAGCTCCCTCAGCCTCCCAGATCTCTCTGGGTTCCGCTTTTCATCCCGCTCTTGGAGAGCCCTGAGTCCTAGCCTGGGACAGAGCCAGACATACCTCTTCTTGATGGAGCGGTTCAGGGACTCGGTTCTGTCGATGAGCTGTGTGTGGGGGGGGGGAGCGGGCAGAGACGTGAGCGTCCGGAGCCAGACAAGGCCCACACTGCATCCCCGCCCCAGTGTCTCTCCTGTCTGGATGCTGGGGGTGGGGGTGGGGCAGAAGAGGGAGGGAGAGCAGGGTGGGGCTGCAGAGAATGAGCAGGGGTACTCCCTATTCTGGGGCTGATGTGGCGCTGCTTCTCAGGCAGGCAGAGGGGGAAAGGTGGCGGGCTTTGGGGCTTGACCTACTTTGGTGCTGGGGCTCAGGGGAGGCGAGCTATGTTCGGTCGTCTCCTCCAAGACCAAGGGGCTGGGCGTCCTGGGCTGCTGACATTCCTGGTGCAGGAAGAGAGCATCTGAGGTTATGGGACCTAGATGAGCACCCCCTTTGCACCCTGCCTGCCCCGCCTGGGACCTGCTGGAGCAAACACTCCTCCTGGCCTGGGTCTCAGGTCCTTCCCAGTCCTGGAATTCTCTGCAGCAGGGCCTGACCATGTAGGGTCACCAAACCCCGCCGCTCTGAGAATGTAGGGGCTACAGAGTCTGCGGGTGGGGTGCTGGCTCCCTCTGGGCCAGTCTCATGAGGCCCACAGAGCATGCAGGGGGCAGAAACAGACCCAGCCCAGACCCCAAGGGACACCACTCTCACCTGCTCATCTGCGTCCTCAGCCTCCACTGGCGCCAGGCTGTCCTGGATGGTCGCCTCTGGTCCCGGCTCCTCCTGGGACTCTGAGCTGGGGTGCAGATGCAGCCCTTCCAGGCAGACTGTGGCTGGGCTCGCCTGGTCGTCATCCTGGTTCTCAAGGGGCCTGTAGAGGAAGAGAGCAGTCTGACCAAGGGCTATTTCATTGCTTGGTTCAAATCCCTTCCTGTTCCCAAGCCTCAGTTTCCCATCTGTAACACGGGGACGGTCAGACCCCAAGGTATCCTGAGACCCCAGCCTCTTTGGGGAAGTGGGTGCAAGGACCTAAGACCTGGCCCCTCTTTCTGGGGCCCTTGGGGAGCAGCGCCCACTGCCACAGCCCCACTGGGCAGGCCCCTCTCGACTAAGGGCCGGCCACCCCCATGCCAAGGCTGGCCCTGACCCCCAGGCTCTCTGGACAGGCCCCAGCCTCGTGTCCTGCTTGTCTTTGTCTACGCTGTGGCCCAGGCCGGCCAGTCCCCTGGAGCCTGGGCTGCCCTGCCCTGTTTGTGTGGGGCGAGCGGGCCTCAGGGAGAAGGCTGTCGGGTGGGGGTGCAGTGGGGTCTGTGGGTGGTTTGGGGGCTGGTCAGCCGGAGGACAGGCAAGGGCAGGGGTCACTGCTAGGGCCACATGCCTGAGGAGAGGGGCCGACTGTGCTGGCTGCAGGGGTGGGCGGGGAGGCCAGCCCGCTGGCAGCGACAGCTCTGCATTTGAGCGGGACTGAACCTGGAGGAGAAGGTGGGAAATTCTCGCATTTTCCATGATTTCAGGCCCCTTGGAGTTTGTGCCAACCAAGACCCAGACCCACCGCCCAGGGTGGGCCGGGGTCCAGCCAACGGCAGGCACACAGAGGGCCCATTCAGCTGTGGCGGGGACGCAGGGCCAGGCAGGTGGGGGTGCGGGGCAGGGCGGCGAGCAGGAGGTTCAACTAAAGAGGCAAAGCGCCCCCTGCTGTTGAGGAAGGCTGCGGCCAGCGGGGAGAAGGGAGCAGGCCCGGCCCGGGCGGGCGGCGGGCAGGCCATCCTGCGTGCCCAGCAGAGTGTGCACCAATTCTCAGAAGCAGGCGGGGGAAACTGAGGCCTGGAGGGGTGGTGGGCTGAAAGCCAAGCCAGGACCGGGGCCTCAGCTAAGCAGATAGTGCGTGGGGTGTGGGAGTCAGCTTGTGCGACGGCTGAGCCGTGGGAGGGTTCTTAGCTGGAGCTCAAGGCTGCTTGCAGGGGCTGGGAGGTGGGGGAGACGCAGGTCTGGTGACACTTAAGGCAGCGGGGGACCCTGTCCCCCAGCTGTAGCTTCTGAGCAAAACTGGGACCCTGGGCACATGGGGGGCCTTGAGTGCAGAGAGCAGCTCAGACCAGGCCCTGAACTTGGGAGGGGGCGAGGCTCCAAGAGCAGCCCCCATTCTGGGCCCAGGGACGCTTTGGCCCCCACTCCCCGCCCGCCCCGGTTCAGACCAGCAAACACGTCTGCACATCTGGAAAGCTTGTCCCCCAGGCCGACTCTCGGGCCCGCACATCTGGAAATACCTGCTCCCCTCCGTGGGAATGGAGGCCCGCCAGCCCCGAGGGAGGAAGGGGCGGGCGGCGGGGGCCAGAGCCTCCATTACGTAAGTGGGCTGCAGATGTGGCAACAGCCCGCCGGCCGCAGCTGGTCTGGATGGGGCCCAGGGCCCTGGGGAGCCCAGGAATGAGATTTCCTCACCGCCTCTCCCCGCAGCCCCTCGCAGGGCCGCCCTCCGTCTCGCTCTCTTCCTCCCTGCTCCCCCTCTCACAGCCACGGGGGCCTTTAGGGGGGCTGGCTGGGAAGGGGAGCGAAGGCCATTGCTCAGGCCCAGGTTGAGGGGCTTGGAGACAGCCCCCGCCTGGCAGCCCCATCTCCAGGCTTGACCCCACTTGCCTGTCCGCCTCCTGGTCCCCCTCTGTGCTCTCTGCCTCGGGGGGCTCCTCAGCCCTGCAGTGCTGTGGCCGCGGCTCTGGCTTCTGGCACCAGTCGGCAAAGCCCTCATCCTCCTCCTGCTCAGGGGCCTCGGAGGCCTTCAGGCTGCAGCGGAAGAACAGCACAGGGGCTGGGGCCGGGCGGGGGTGCCGGGCAGGGGTGCTCTCCCGTCCACTCCTCCCGTCTCAGACCCTGAGTGCCACAGAGGCAGCGTGGCTCAGCCAGGCGTCTCCCCATCATCCAAGAATCCCCGAGGGCAGGTCTGTGTCCCCTCCACAGTCTAGAACTTTCTGAAACCAAGGCTGTGTCTCACCCCATTAAGGCAGGGCTCCCCAAGAACAGGGCTCTGTCTATCCCATGAGTTTCAGGTTCCCCGAGAGCTGGGCTG